TTTGTGGGTCGCACCTTTTGGTGGCTCCCACGTGGACTTATGAATAAACCAAATCTCACCCTTGCTTTTAATTCGTAGATCTCAGCCTCCTCGACTTTGTTATCCCCCTTTCTAACTGTTTTTCGTTTAGAGTTAAAACCAAACTAAAGATACCAGTCGAATAAATATGACTGATCATATTCACTTAACAACAACAAAAATATATACTTCAGCGTGTGATAACTTATGAATGTTAAGTATTACTTTTCTTTTGGATATTTAAGTGTTTTTGGCGGCACTACACAGATAGAAAGAAGAAAGAGAGAGAGAGAGGGAGAAATGTTTTCGAAATTCAAGCATTCTTGTGCTAATGTTATTGTTTCATAACAAAACAATATAATTATCCGTACAACATGAAAAGACACGGAAAGTCGTGCTGAATCATACAAAAATTACTCGTCAAACTTTAAACCTAATCCAAATTGAATAAAACCGTTTCTAAAGTTTGATCTAGCCTACGTTTACGTTCGATTACGCATAGAAAACATTGACGTAGGTCAGTAACGTGGTTGATAAATGTGTGTATTAAACATGAAAGCGAGGTTATTTCTCTTGTGAATTAAATTTAAAAACATTAACCCAACCATCAGATGTGTATCTCGTTATGGCTGTGAAGCGCGCTTCATTTTCGCACGGGTACTTCCAGAGCTAATGCACTTGGCAACCATCTCTCACCATTTGCAATGTTCGTGAGTCGCAACTTCTGGTGGCTACCATGTAGACTTGAGAATGAATCAAAGCTGGGGATCCGTGGTTCATATCCTGTTTATAAAAGAAAATCGTAATCTGTCTTAATTTGAACTTCAGTGCTAAAAATATAGTTAGCGCACGATCTTTCGAAGTTGATTTAAACTTACAAACACTATAAAATGATCTCTTAACACTCCTGCTCCAAGGTTTTTGGTGAATTAACTACTAATATGAATATATAGTGCAAGCCAGATGTTGCATAACGAATCGCTTAAACTACTACATATCAAGTGTGAGTTTATTTATAAGGTGGTGGGAATATCGAATTGTTATTTTCCAAGGCCGAGCGTGGCACAGTGGTTAGTTTGTTGGACTGTGGAGCTGGGGATCTGTGGCTTGTATCCGGTTACTTAAAAGAAAAAAAAAACTCCCGATTCGCACTTTTGGAGTTGTGGGTTCTGTACAAGATTAATGGTCAAACCCCATTATTCGGTCTGAACAAGAGCCCGAAATCCAACATGCAAAGCTATTTTCCACATTTTTTGTACTGTGGATCTTTGGATTGGGATTTAGATCCTCTTGTCAGGATCTCAGAAGGTTAGATTCTATCGAAGACCTCTTCCTCTCTCCTGCACAGTTGCAATCATGGTGCAAAATACACCATCGTGTCTGCTAAATGCTAAACGAATTATATGTGAGGGTTGTGTCCTGTTTACAGCCTTTAAGTTACAACGACTCCTTTCAAAGCCATGTTCATTTATATACAACTTGTAGCATTTTGTATCGGAATATACATTTCTTCGCTTGGTGTGTATAGTCTTACACATGACAAACAGTCCTGTATATCGCGACACATTCATTTCACTAATTCATGACAAGAGTATTAGACATAAATACCCTAATTAATACTTTTTTTATTATAAACTAGGTAAATGATTTTTATATTTAAAGTCTAGCATAAGGTTGCTTGCTGTTACTCTTAAAGTACATACTAACTGGAGAGAGGTACTTAGGTATATTTTTATCATGTGTGATATAGCAAGACAGTGACATCAGTAACTCGTTTTTATTCATATTTTTATTAAAATAATTATTTGAACTATGTAAGAGCCTGTCGTTTATCGTCTGAATATCTGTGTAGGTAATTTGAACGTGTGCTGCAGTGAGTATCGAGTGTTGTATTGGTTGTAATCGTCTTTTGATTAGTGTTGACTGTTGTATTGGTTGTAATCGTCTTTTGATTAGTGTTCACTGTTGTATTGGTTGTAGTCGTCTTTTGATTAGTGTTCACTGTTGTATTGGTTGTAGTCGTCTTTTGATTAGTGTTCACTGTTGTATTGGTTGTAGTCGTCTTTTGATTAGTGTTCACTGTTGTATTGGTTGTAGTCGTCTTTTGATTAGTGTTGACTGTTGTATTGGTTGTAGTCGTCTTTTGATTAGTGTTGACTGTTGTATTGGTTGTAATCGTCTTTTGATTAGTGTTGACTGTTGTATTGGTTGTAATCGTCTTTTGATTAGTGTTCACTGTTGTATTGGTTGTAATCGTCTTTTGATTAGTGTTGACTGTTGTATTGGTTGTAATTGTCTTTTGATTAGTGTTGACTGTTGTATAGGTTGTAATCGTCTTTTGATTTGGGGTTGGTGATATGTTTATCCATGCTCGACTAACATATTCGTTTATTGGTCGTATATGTTGTTTGTATATTTTAATAATGTTCTGTGGTGAAGTTCCTGAATTGTTACCTTACAGGCTCTTGACATAATTTGCTCGTCTCCACATTTTGGTTCGAATCTGGTTAATATGGGTTTTTCAATTTAATTTAAAGTCATGTGTGATACCTAAAACTTTAGCTGACGTGAACTTTGGAACAAATAAACAATACATAAAAAACTAATATTATTACATAACAAATAACGCATTTTGTTATTTTTTTATTATTTACATGATGTATTTCAAAATGCCCTTGTTAGTCAATGTTTAAGTATTATTTCGTATTGAAAACGATACCTAGTTTGAAGGTATAAACTAGAGGGCATAGACCAGATGGTTTGTGATAATACTCCAACTATGGCTACGAAATAAGATCGTATTTTATTAATTATTTGAGACGTTTCATGAGTTCTGAAATTACATTTCCTTGTATTTTTGGTCCTACATTTAAAATCTAAGTATCTTTTTGAATTAAACTGTATGGAACGCTTCTGTGGTTTTTAAGAAGTGCAAGTTGTCTCTAGGGCTTGGCTAAGTCACGAATTTAGGGTTACCGTCATGGTTGTGATTAATAGAGAGATAACTTTGGAGATTAGCTGGGAAACGTTAAAACGTCTTACAATTTTGTGTCTGCTCGTTCCATTATGTACGAACAACAAAATCCTAGTTGGCAAAATAAAATAGAACTTTTAAATATTTCGTAGTTATTTTTACGTTGTTCAACTACTTCGTAAACGTATGAATAGGAGTTTATCTTTTATTGTGTATATATATATTTCTAATTCGACGCACGATATTTGTAACTACTACCACTACACCAAACCTAATGTTTTATATCTAGTTTTCGAGTCTGAAAATGGCGTGCGCAACTTACAAAAAATCTATTTATCATTCTTTATCTGAAGCAGATACACAATCGGTGGAGTTAGGCCAAGAAATCTATACATACTGTAGTTCAGATAGTGAACCTTACAGTTATTCCATAGCAAGTGAATTCGTAAAAGAAATAAAAGACGTAAAAATAATTTATCCATAGTAACTATCTATAATGGAACTCTTAACGTTTGTATGTTTCTTTCACCTCTCCTTTTTAACCTATAAAATACTGCGAGATTCTTGAGTTTTTATTACCAGAATGACCCATGCACAGTAGTTCTTTGAGATCTATAGAAACGACAATGACAAATGACTGTCTTGAACTTGTTCGATTTTATTTACCGGTGCCATTCTTCTGGATCCACATAGCCCCTCGGTTGGTGGTGTCAAATTGCCTTAGATTCTAGTAGATTAGTAAACTCTCAAGGAACGTATATCCTTAGTTCCCTGGAGTGCGAAAGTACCGGGAAAGGTGAAAAACCCATGAACTGTGACTTTCAAGTGAGTCAGTCACTTACTCTAGTACGTATAAACTCCATCACGTGAAATACTATGTAGCTAAATTTTGATAGTGCAACTACTACTGAACTGAACTGCAACAGTAATAAGAATAAGACATTGAAACTTGCATCATCTCTTGATAAAATGTACTGTTGTTGGTAAAGTGATTCTTCACAGAGTTCGGTTGTTTAGCATGGCAATAAACTGACAGAATTAAATTTCTTTCTAGCAGCTTCTGGCTAAATGAGGTTTAGCTTTGTTTTGTTGTTTATTCTCTTTAACGACGGTCCTTGATATATGTCAGATATTGTAATAAATTGATGGATAGAAAGGTAAAAACGTTTTTCTTTGCAGTAAATATTTGTGTATCGGATCTGTTCTCATTTAGCTCTCTGTAATACAACAGAATATTATTTACAAAATACCAATGTGTCAAAATGCCCTAAGTTTCGTTTTGCAAAATTGACTTAATTAACTACTAATTAACTTTGGAAAAATAAATAAAGACTTTGGGGGTACGGGAAGCTGCTAAAATTGGAAGTGTTCTGCGAAACAATCTAAGGTAAACATGATAAATCACCAAACATTTGCATTGGGTGGACTTCAGGCTAAAAACTAGGCAAATCACATGATCTATGAAGGCTTCTGAAGGAATGATACGGCCATACTTAATCTATAACGATCAAAAACTCGATGATCTCTTGGAGTTTCGAAGTGATCGGTGATATAGTTGGAACTCTAGTATACCTACTTCCCTGTTATGTCTCGTCTCATTGATGCGACCACTTGGAGGGCCTACGCAAGATCTGTTTACATATATCAAACTTGTGGACTTAACAGCACAAATCCAAGTTTAAATGGGTTAATTGTGAAAAAGAATCAATTTATTCACACTTAATTTTAAGCAATTAATTTCAGAAACAAAACAAAAGAACTGTTTTTCTCATTGTTTCTATTCCCCCAATATGATTGGAATAGGTTTCGTTTTTCTACTTAATATTGACTCTAAATAACTGGTTAATGTGAAGTTTTCCACATCTGAAAATATATATGTGTGTTTGTGTGTGAAACCCGCTCTTTGGGATTAAGGTATATGTAGAGCTAAAGGGCACTAAAATGAGCATTTACTCGAACTTTTCATGTGTTATTGCCTGTTACTATTGTTTTACTTTTGTTTTCATAGGCTCACATGGTTGCAGCATTTGAGCAAAGTCTTTCCAACATGACTGGCCGACTTCAACACCTTACTGCATCGGCTGAACAAAAGGTGGGTTTAATATAATCTAATACGTGGATAATAACTAAGCATTGGGTTTAGTCTGAGCTTAATATATGGGTAGGAAAACTCAAATTTTCGTTAATATCCATTAGTTCCATATCACTTCGGTTACAAAAAAATGGTTAGATTATCTTTTTATGCATATTGTTATTGTGTGTTAAAACAAACTTACCTAATCATTTGTATATTATGCTTTGTACTTTTTATCAGAGGCGTTGCTGGGCACTGGCATACGCAGCTCTTGCCTCGATTCTAGTTGACAGTGCCCCGAATCCCCAGTTGGTGTCTTGAAAAATCAGAATAGAAAACCAAGATCGATATTGTACTGAAACGCCGAAAATTCTCGCGCCTATGGGCCTGAGCCCCTAATCTTTTAAGCACTTAGCGACGTATCTGCTTTTCATGTAGAATACGTAAAACCTGATCTTTGTTCATATTCCAGTTTCCAAATTTTTGACTTACTTTTAAAAAATAAAAATAAATAATGAAAAATATATGCTCGTATGTATCTTACAAAACATAGGATATTTGATTTATATGTGGAATATTTTTAACAGGACTCTGAGCTTGGAGAACTGCGAAACACTATTGAGGCTCTAAAAAAACAAAGTGCAGAAGCTGGTCTTACCAAGATGGCGCTACAATCAATGCAAGCAGTTCAAAGAAGTAAGACTACATTGATATTTTATAAATATAAAAATTATAAAGAATGATAAATCAAGTATGACTATTGAATTATTAACCATTGTATGTATAAATCATGAAGAACAAAGGTTTTTTTGGTTTTTTTAACTTGTACAACTTGTTTATTTTCAGCTATGCAAGGTAAAATGTCAAGGCAATTATCTACTGATTCTGTATCAAGCGTAAATTCCCAGTCAAGTGCTTGCAGCGGAACAAGTGGAAGTTCTATGAGATCTGATATTACTGGCAGTAAAGGAAAGAAGAAGAAGAAAGGCTGGGTTAGTTCATTACATACAAAATAACATACCAATGTATTTTTACACATAGAAAATGTTTCAAGTGTTGTGGTAACCGTTTACCTCTACATGACGTTTGTTTATAAGTTATATGAATACAAAAACGTTGGGTGCGTTGACAGTAACTTTTGCCTAATCATGTATAAAATATTGTTATTAGTTACTTGTTTTATTAAGAAATAGTGCCACAGCAGGTGACTTCACATAGGGTGATCGTTTTTTTATCTTTCAAAAACAACCGTAATGTATTGTTTTACGAGACTTTCTACAGAATATCTTATGATTAAAAACCCTTTTTCAGTATTTATTCTGAAAAATTTGTGGGCTCTTTTTATTATAGCTGCGCAGTTCGTTCAGTAAGGCTTTTTCTCGAAGTAAAAAGAACAAAAACGGTTCCGTATCGGACGTTGAGGACTTGAAACATATCCAGTCGGATTCTTCTACGCCAAATTCTCCTCTGCTAGGTCCTCATCCAATGAATGGTGGTATTGCAGGCCAATCATTGAAGTCTTCTCATTCATCGTCAGCGTAAGTGTAACCAGCTTAGTTTTATTAAAATTGTTTGTACGTATATTTTGCATGTACAAACCTGTTTAAATTTGGCCCCATGCATCTGTCTACTCAAGCCCATCTCAAGAGGTGACACTTATTTTTACAAGTTAGTACGAGTTGAAAGCTTTCTCCCTTGAATATGTCTTTTTGAATAGTAAATAGTCATTGACGTACGAAATCTATGGATTAAGAAATACCATGCTTGGATCCGTTTATCTGACTTGAAAGTGCAGTAAAGTATAATTCTTCCTGTCCTAATCTTGTCCACACATATTAGGAAAGCTTAATTCCAGTCTCCGTAGTCAATGAGAAGTCATAACATAAACAGAGGCTGGCTAGTAAATACATAATTGACACATCATTTTGAATATTTCCTTTGCTATCTGTTTGATTTGTTCTTCACTTAACAGTCCTAAACCTGCATTTTGTTGATAGGCAAGTTTATCTTTTGAACATCAGTGTGTCTGAATGCCATATTGCTATCAGAACCTAATTTTATGAAAGTTAAACTCACCAGAGCTCAAACTGTTTTTCTTCTACTTTCTTCTAAAATATGTTTTTATTTTGATTATTCTTAAAGGTTAAAACCTTATTCTGTTGGCAGAACTTCATTAACTTTAATGTCCTTGTTACCTTAAGGTCATCCTGACCTTTATGCATAACAAGGACATTAAAGTTAATCAAGTATTAGTGTATGAAATTTTTGTTTCTGAAGTTGGTCAAGTGATGGAAGTGAAGTCCTAATTCTGTATAAAAAGTAAAAACAAAATATATCAATTAATACCTAAGGTCACACTGATGTTAAAGCCTTATAATAATGCTTTGTTGGAAAAAGCTGGGTACTCTCTGCTTATAAAGGCAAATATGAGTCTTCAAATCAGTGTTATAGAGTTTAAAGTATTTTTCCTATATATTATGCCAAACTTGGTTCGTAATACAGGTTGATTATAAAGAAAACTCAATTTAGAATTACTACATCCTAGGGGAAATGTATTTCACCAGAGGTATATTTAAAAATCCTAGAAACAGAAATAAAAAATGAGTGGACAGGCTTGTCAAACTTAACAGGCATCATGCTGTGTCTTAGTTGACTGATTTCTTCAACAATGATCAGGGCTCACGTGATCAACTATCTCCAATCACACCATGCAAAATATATTAAAAAAACATCCATATAGCAGCCAAGAATTAGTCCAAAAACTGTTTATATCAGATTAAACCAGGAAAGAATGGTTTCAGTGGTGCTTAGAGCATCATAAGCTGTAGATATTAAATTATCAGAAATGTGGTTTGATAAACCACTTTAATGTAACTGTTGTTTTTCTGTACTAATAATAAGATACGGAGAAATGAAACGATTGATTTTTCTTATCTTGTTTCACCAGTAGAAGCTGCTGGAGTTGATGTAACCGTGTGAGGAAATCTCTTGTAGCAGGGATTGGGTTCTATGATTCCCTTTTAAAGACAAAAAACAATAAGGATATACTTGAATGTTATTGTCAATCATGCCTATAATGCTGCATTTCCACCCTCCTGACAAGGGCTTTTCAAAGAGGAAAATGCAACAATCCACCATGCTAATAATGCCCATAATTAATTAACAGAGCATGACAGTTACGAGATCTGAATCTTATTGATCATCTTTGAGATTAACTTGAACATCCCATTTGCTACCATAATCCTCTGCTAATTACAAATCACACTCCTCAACAAATGGATTATAACCAAACTATATGCTTACTATTATCGTCTGGAGTCTATAACAGATAGAATCCAGGCTTTTATCACAGCAAAAGATAGTCCAAACCAGTATTAACTAGGAGCCCTAATAAAATAGCCAGTCAATTTTATTGGACAAAACATTCAAGGTGGATCTGTGATCAAGATGTTTTTTCTTTTGCAAGTTGGAATAGATGATATTATAAGCTAAACAGTTATACTTAGAATAATTAAATGTCTGAAATTGGAAGCCTGTTCTAGGTTAGTGTGAAGCTTCTGTTTATGGTTGAAAATAAGTTGAGTTTGTATTTCATTATCATCTTATTGACAATGTTTTGTAGGTATTGCTCATCTATTTAGGTACTTTTCACTGTATGTGTATTTTGTAAATCCATAATATTTTTATCTGACTGAAGTACATATATGTTTTTTATTTTGTATTTAAAAACAAAACTCCAGAAATATGTGGCATTAAAATTCACTTAAAACCAAACGATAACACACTGCATCTGCTGTATGTTAGTACAATGTATACTAATATAACAGTGTAATAATTAATCAGAAAATGTGTGAACACTGACAGAGACTAGCATAAAATACTTGCAGTCTGGGGTTCATAGAGGAACTGATTTATTGATCTGATCAAGCCCCTCCATTATCCCCAATTATTTTTATAGCTACCCCCAAACAAATGTTTCATAACTGAACAAAATTCCATTACAACACCTGACTGTAGTACCTGAGCATGTGCATCTAGTTTCAAACATGGCACTCCCAGGATCCCAAGAAGGGCCATGAATACAAAATCTTGTATCAAAATCAGGTTTATCAACTTATAAAAATCCACTCCTCATGTTGAATGTGAATTTATTTGTTTGTCTGCAAACTCCTTCCAAAATTTTGTAGCTAACAGTACCAAACAGGTGGACTCAGATCACTTTCTCCCCTAACAAAAGGGGCTAAACTGTATCCAGAAAGCCAACCAGGTATGATGAGACCTAATTAAATATAGGATGCAAGTTTATAATTCAGTTAATACATACATGTGATTTTATTTCTGCAGAATGAAAGCTTTGTTTTAACATCATTTTGTTATATGCAGCTATTATAATTTCTCGACTATATTTTCAGCCTTTATGAAAAAGAAGAAAGAACTCCAGAGATTGTCAAAGATTTAAAAAAGCAGCTGCGGGAGAAAGACATGATTCTGACGGATATTCGTCTCGAAGCTTTAACCTCAGCTCATCAGCTCGAAAGTTTAAAAGATACTGTGAATAAAATGAAAGTGAGTTGCATTTCATGACATTCTAAGTATGCTTAGTAACATAATTAATGGACTCTAAAACTCTTCGACATGCTTTTCACTTTATCAATATTTTGTGTTATTAGAACACACATACAAAGTACACTTCTTTTGTTAATAAAACACTCAGAAAATTATACCTGTTTATAAGAAGTGTTATTTTTGTCAGGTAATAGTTTCATGAAGCTTTCATAAAATGCCATTCATTAATTGGATATTAAATTGTTTTTACCCACATTCTGTACAAAATATAATTGTGTAATTGATTTGAACTTGCAAAGTACTAGAATATCTCAAGATGTAGCATAGATTAGTATGATATTATTTTCAACTAACAGTGAATTGTTATATTCCATTAATTACAGAATGAAATGATGAACCTAAAACAAGATAATGAACAACTACAGCGACTTATGGTCAATAAATCTTTAAACTCATCTCAGAGCTCAATACCATTCAGGAATAGTGTGGAGAGTCTAGAAAAAAGACTAAGTGCCTCAGAACAGTCAGTAGCCCCTAGTGTTGGTAAGCAGCAACAAACCAGAAACTATCATGTATTATTTGCTCCCATTTCTGACAGTATGAATAGAAGTAGTTAGGTGATACAGTTGCTTTGACTGAGAATGTAATTATAAATGATGAAGTGTGTAAGACCTAATTTTTTAACTTAAGCTTAAGTCAAAGATAAAAATTTGCAATGATATAAAAATATTATCTTCAGATGTGAGTAAAGTTAAGTTTAGACATCAGAAAATAAATAATCTTACCTTTAAGTAGCATGTAATGATAATTTTTTGGGTAAATATTTCTTTCAGCAACTTGCAGCCACACAACTAGAGATCACTGAAGTTTTTACTTTTGGAGTTAAAACAAAACATAATATGTATGTTCAATCAGTGATTTTATTTGGCTTCTTAATAATCAGTAAATTATGTGTTTTATGAAAAGTTATTATAAGCTCAAATAAGTTTTTAGAAATTTTGACTTCTGATCAAATCAAGCTACCTTTGTAGATCACAAAGAACTAAAAAAAACTTAAGTACAAGTTAATAAATAAGAAAAACAGTAAAACATAATACTAAGCTTATCAACTAATATGAAGCTCGAGGAAGTTTACAAAGACTTGTTTCTGTTATTAAAATTACTGAATTAAAAGAAAAAATTATCTTATTCAGTATTTGTTTTTATTAGATACTCATGTTTTAAGTATTTAAAGATCTAGTTTGCTGTTTAAAAAATGGTTTAACTTTTGTTATGGTTTTTTTTAACACAAGGCTTATGTTTGCAGATTAACATTTCTAACTCCAAAAATAGACCACTCACACTTTTCTTTTTCATTTTACAAATCACTAACGGTAATTTTGAAATAAATTTCAGTAAAAATTGTATTTTTATATTCCAAATTTTCTTTAACATTTTTGTCAAAATATTGAAGTAGTAGTTAATAATATTATTTGTTTTGATTTCTTTAGCTCATATTTCAGTTTTGATTATGACCAATAATATTGTCTTGTATATAACCAGATAAATGTTTATAGTTTCTTATCATGCTTGTCTATTTTAACACATTTAATACAACTATGTAAATTATTACAGGGTAGATTCCCAATTTTATTTGACTTGTATTTCTAACTGCTTTTCCTTTTAATTCTAGACTTGTATCTTAATGATGCAGCAACAGATCGAGAAGGGAAACGAGTCACCATCTCAACATATCTGTGTTGCCATGGAGATTATGGAAAAGTTGCATTACAAGCTGAGGTAATTTGTTAATTTATCTATTTATATTAAAAGCCACTTAATTACTTTGAGAATTGAATGAACAAATTAATAATCCATTTTTATTTTCTTGTTTAAATATATAATACATTTGTGAATTATGACGTATAATGCTTATTTCTTTATAAGCTTTTTGAGAACAAATTACTAGAAAGCCTTACTCGTAGGAATATTCTCAAATGAAAATTAAAAGCTAATTAATGATTGTATTCTGATTATTAGCATCAGTAGCATAGAATAGCTGTGTATAGTAGAGTATCTACCTTGAAGAATATCAGCAAAATGGTAGAGTATTTAGCTTGAAAAATCTTAGCTGTGTATAATAGAGTATACAGCTTGAAGAATATCAGTAGCATAGTAGAGTATCTATCTCAAAGAATATTGGTTGTGTATAGTAAAATATCTAGCTTGAAGAATCTCAGCAGTGTATAGTAGAGGATTTAGCTTGAAGAATCTCAGCAGTGTATAGTAGAGGATTTAACTTGAAGAATGTCAGCAGTGTATAGTAGAGGATTTAGCTTGAAGAATCTCAGCAGTGTATAGTAGAGGATTTAGCTTGAAGAATCTCAGCAGTGTATAGTAGAGGATTTAGCTTGAAGAATCTCAGCAGTGTATAGTAGAGGATCTAGCTTGAAGAATCTCAGCAGTGTATAGTAGAGGATCTATCTCGAAGAATCTCGGCAGTGTATAGTAGAGGATCTATCTCGAAGAATCTCAGCAGTGTATAGTAGAGGATCTATCTCGAAGAATCTCAGCAGTGTATAGTAGAGGATCTATCTCGAAGAATCTCAGCAGTGTATAGTAGAGGATCTAGCTCGAAGAATCTCAGCAGTGTATAGTAGAGGATCTAGCTTGAAGAATCTCAGCAGTGTATAGTAGAGGATCTAGCTTGAACAATCTCAGCAGTATATAGTAGAGGATCTATCTCGAAGAATCTCAGCAGTGTATAGTAGAGGATCTAGCTCGAAGAATCTCAGCAGTGTATAGTAGAGGATCTAGCTCGAAGAATCTCAGCAGTGTATAGTAGAGGATCTAGCTCGAAGAATCTCAGCAGTGTATAGTAGAGGATCTAGCTCGAAGAATCTCAGCAGCGTAGAGTAGAGGATCTATCTAATTTGAAGTTGTATACTTTCTTAAATATATTTTTAAAACATTTACTTTATGTTTACGTTTTGTGTATTTATTTGCTTTGTGTGTAGTATTGTATTATTTTTTTACAGCCCCAACAAGAAGTCTTTATAGGGTCAGTTTCTGTAAGTGGAAAAACTAAGTGGGACTTGCTGGACAACATAGTTAAAAGAGCATTCAAGGTAAGAAATCAAAGCAGTATAGCCCAATCATTCATAATTCAATCATAGGTTTTAATACTGCAATAACAGTAAATGTAGTTTTTCTGTTGTTCTGTTAACTCAAAGATATATAAATTCAGCCATGGTTTAAGAATGTTTTTTTTCCTCTTTTAGGAATATGTCCTGAGGTTAGATCCTATTTCCAACTTAGGTTTAAATGCTGAGAGTGTTTTAAGCTACCATATTGGTGACATTGTTCGTTCAAAAGGTAAATAGGACTTTTTTCTTCTTTGCTGACTTCAGAAATACTAGCAATCAATATCTTGATACTGGAAGCATAAGAGAGATGTGCAGTTGTCTTTGAATGAATTTTAATTTTAGTTGTTTTATAAGTAATATCTAGAATAAATAATATATTCTCAGTAACAATATGTATCATTTTAAAACAGAATCTTTCCTGTTATGGAAAACAGATTTATTGCATGAGCACATATTTATTAATGATAACATTGTTTTATAGTTGCATATTAATGGATACACATTTGCTTATGCAGCTGGTTTTGTAATACAACAGTCATTTTCAAGGATTGTTAAATGTTTTTTAGGATGATCTCCCTCGTGTGTGTTGTAATTTTGTGATTTCATATGCAAATAGATTTACATATTTCAGACTTTAAGATACAGGGAATAGTCTTATTTTATATCATTTAACTGGTAGACATAAAATATGCTTTGAGATGTCCTTTATCTACAATAATTAATTGTCTGTGTTTTGTTCGTTATAGATGCAGAAGTTCCAGATTTGTTACCTTGCGGGTACTTGATAGGAGATAACATGCAAATACATATTACTTTAAAAGGTATTCTTTAGATTTTGTCTTTTGTGTAACTAATTCCTTTAAAAAATTTAATATTCCTTGTTATACCAAGAAGGAAGGAAGTATTTATTAAGTACCATTATTTTTACTTAATGTCACATTTCATGGTCAGTACAAAACAAATTACAGCAGTTTAAATCAGTGCTTCTAAACTTTTTCCAATATCAATCACCCGTATACGTCTTTCACAACAGCTCACTCACCCCAGTTCAAAAAAAGACAAAAAAAAATGTACTAAACTAAAATGCAAAATTCTTTATTATGACTTAAATATACATCAGACTACAACTAGAATGAATACAACATAAAATATATAAAATTAAACGTACTTATCAAACTACAACCAGAATAAATAATAATAATAACTAATGACTTTTTTGCTCTTGAATTTGTTGTATAATTGATAATACTCATTCACCCTGATTCTGATCTCATTAACCCCTGGGTGAACCATTCACCCAGTTGAGAAACACTGATTTAAATGACCATTCAAGGTACTGATCTCTTCTGTGATGAATTGTTAACTTGAAATATAAAGGAAATTTAATAGTGTTGTGGCTGTACAAATGAAGTCTAAATATAAAAAAGTAAAATGTACAAAATAATGAAAGAAAAAAAATACTCATTTAAAAAGTCAACTAAGTCACCAAAACATACAATTAAAAATACAATAAAGTTATTTTATTTGTATCATGTTTTTGTTCTCAAGTTGGCTTAGTCTTCTTTGTGTTTGGAGTAAGGTATTTATATTATTGTAATTATGTTTTGTGTATTTTAATCCTATTTACACTCGATGTGATTTTTTGTTACTATGAAATTGTGAAGCTTAAATTTCTAAAATGAAATGATATAGTATATTACTTCATTAAATAAAAAGGAAGTTTACATAATTCCAACACTAAAACCCAGGGTTTGATTCCCTGTGGTAGACAGAGTGCAATTAGCTCATTGTGTAGCTTTGTGGTAAGAAAAAACTTACTTCTCCCTTAGAGGATCAGCAGTAACTTTATGGACTTACAACACTGAAATTTTAGGTTTGACTCCTCTCAGTGGATGGAATGTAGATAGCCTATTGTGTGGTTTTACACTAAAACAAACAGTAATTAATCATCTGTTAATCTATATGATTTTTCAGACATGACTACTTTTAACATTTTTATGCCCCTTGAACTGAAGTATTTTATGTCATTCCTTTTAGGTGCAAAACAAAGTTCTGTAGATGCCTTAGCTTTTGAAACACTCATCCCCAAGTCAATAATTCAACGGTATGTCTCATTGCTATCGGAACATAGAAGAATTATCTTATGTGGCCCTAGTGGAACAGGCAAGACTTACCTTGCTCAGAAACTAGCTGAATTTCTTGTCTTTAGGTTAGTACATGGTTTGAACTGGAACATAAATTATTTTAGTTTAAACTCGCATCATGTTCAATGTTTTAATTTTCTGACAATGTGTATTTAAAGAAATAACCTAAAGACTTTTGAACAGGTTTGATTTGTTTCTCTCTTTCACTCAATATCGGTTGTCCTCAATTTAGTACTTACGTAAAACATAAAAGTATTTTACAATTTTGATATTTATAATTCTCTATTCTTGTGGGCAAATAAAGACTTATGGCAGTTAATTAGGTAGAAATTCTATGAAGTTCCTCCCAGTACTTCCAATTTTAACATTATTTTTCATAACCTTGGTTAATATTTGATGAGTTAAATCATACTATGATTAATGAATAAAATCCTCTAAGGACCCACTTTTTATTGGGGAAAAAAAAGCTATAATATTTTTGGGGGGGGGATTAAGATATATGGTTGTTCATAACTCTGTAGTTGGTACTTGTTCTAAGTTAATTGCTAGTTATTCTCATGCTTATTTTGTTATATTCTCTCTCTGTGTGTCCCCCAGTGGGACAGCGGTAGGTCCTTGGATTTATAATTATAAAATCAGGGGTTCGATCCCCCTCGGTGGACACAGCAGACAGCCTGATGTGGCTTCACTATAAACAGAACACAAACACAGATTCTGTGTGTGTCTTTACTACATCAAAAAAAATCAATTTTCAGCATAGTGTTATTGTTTCTATTATTCTATTAGTCCCCAGTCTGTTGTAAAATAAGTAATAAATAATGTATTGAACACTCTCTAGGAGTGGTAAAGAGTTGAGTCCTGGTGCTGTAGCAACTTTTAGCGTGGATCACAAGTCGGCCAAAGAACTTCGACAGTACTTGTCCAATGTTGCAGAACAATGTGAGAGCAGGTAAGGTTTTTAGTACACTTACCTAAAAAGTATGATTTCTTCTGAACTTCACATTTCAAAACCACAGCTTAATAACTTTTCAACTAATAATTCATTATTGTATTATACGTCTTCTGTAATCACAACTGTCTTTACAGGTGATTTATAGTTTTAATTAATCATTACTGTAATCAGTTTATATATTAAGTGCATTAGTTTACCTTTAAATCTTTACCCAATAATTAAACAGGCACAGAAAATATATTATGTAAGATATGTTGCATTCTGATACTGTAAAATTGCACTTTGCACTTTGGAGCTGTGGGTGCACTATAATAAGAATGGTATTGAAATCTTACTATTAGATTACAGTAGCCCAAGAGTTGATAATGGGTGCTGTAGACTAGCTGCTTTCCCTATAATCTGTCAGTTCAAAATCAGGGACAGCTAGCATAGATATCCCTGGTGTACCTTTGTGCAAATATCCAAAGAAAACAAACAGTTACTGAAATTTTAATTTTAATACTGTCAGAGAAACACAAAATCTTTTTTTGTCTCTTGTTGTTCCTGATATCCAAGAACTTAACCCATTTTTTCCCTTTGAGATAATGTTTATATATATTCAATTTAATATGTTATTAACTGCAACTTGAATTCAAGTGAACATTAGACTGGTCAAAATATGAATGATTTGGTTTATGTAATAACATAAACTGCACATCATGTATGAAGAGCAATACTAAAAACATATATAAATTTATTTGACTGATCAATGACTTTGAAAATTGTCTGTTGATTAGCTATTCATTTATTGTAGTAATGGTTCAGACCTTCCAACTGTGATAATTCTTGACAACCTACACCATGTTGGTTCACTGGGTGAAGTTTTCAATGGATTTCTTAGTGCCAAGTATCAGAACTGGTATGTTCTTCTATGTATCATTATCTTGACTTTTTCATTAAGGTATAAAAAAAAAATATATCTCTTGATTATATTAACAGATTTACTTGACTTCTTGTTTTGGCAGAGTTAATATATTAAAAATAGGAATATTAAAAAATAAATGGAATATAATTTTACATTGAAAATATTAAACATTATTTGCTTAGCCATGTTACAGTATTTTTTTGCATGTAATTACTATATCCTTTGTTTTCTTTGGACAAGCTATAATTATTATGAATAATGAATTTATCCAGAGTGAGGATTTTATGAGTTTCCTTTTGACCAAAATTTAGCATTTTAAAATTAGTTCATATGTATGGAATGAATTTATGAACGAATAATATTTTTCACCCAAGGGCTGTTCAGTACACTAAAGTAACTGAGTAAATTTCTTGTAAAAATTGTTAACTGAGATCTCCTGTGATGTTTGTTATGCAGATGTCTTAAGAACTTGGTGCAACTAATCAGTTACTTTAATGTGAATAGACCAATCTCTCTTTGAAATGGCAAGCTTCATGACTAAAAATACTGTTTGATAATGGCTTGTACAAGGATTGATCTAGGAAGGGTTTATGTTTTTTATACAAACAATCCTCATCTCACAGTGGATTAATTTGCTATTTTTAATTGCACATCATTTTATTTCCTTTATAAATACTTTAATTTCTAGTTATAATTATCACTCGGTGGGATGCGTTATTTCATGGTTGTTGCTTTTGTGAATTGTAAAGGTTATCCTGTACATGAATTGTGCTGGAAGACTTTTCAGTTGATTTTTCTTTGATAACGACATTGTTGAAATTCATGTGAGAATTTAAAGAATAAGGAAATGTTGTTATTTATTATGTGATTTTATAGCCCATATATTATTGGAACAATGAACCAAGCTACCTGCTCAACCACCAATCTTCAACTGCACCACAACTTCAGGTGAGAGCACCATTTCCTAAAATAAATACATTTTGATGATTTCTTTAAATACAACTAGAAGTTTAAGAGTTTTTGTCCGGGATAATTTCGAATTCTATTATGATCTCATATTGTTGACCACAAACAATGGTATAATTCTGTTCCTCTAGATTTTGAGAAAGAGCCTATCTTCAGATAATATTTCCAAAGTTTGTAGCTCTTTCTACTGTTTCTTGCATATGCCAAAAGTATGCATTTTATTTAGAACCAGAAACACATTTTTTTAATCATAAATATACTGATAGAGTCCAGATGGATTCCAATTTTTCTAAACTATTTAGCCCCCCAGTAGCACGACGGTATGTCTGCAGACTTACAATGCTAGCAACCAGGTTTCAATACCCTTGGTGGACAGAGCACAGATAGCTCATTGTGTAGCTTAATTACAAACAAACAAAATCTAAACTATTTATTCACCAAATTTCTTGTGTGGCTATGACATACATGCATGAATTGCATTATTCTGTTATTCAAGATGGTACATGGGTGATGCAGAATTTTAAACAGAAGTACCAACAATATTCTTATTTCACGTAGAAAGTGAGTGATTTCATTCGATTATTTTTATCAGTACTTTAAAATGGGTGTTGTAATAGGCAAAAACCCTAATAGTGATTGTTCAAAAACAGTTTGAGGGTTAACATAAATCTTTATGCTTTTGTATGTTGCAGAAGAAGTTTTCTCTTTGATTTGTTTTTTTTTCTGCTGGTTCAAGCATATGTAAAATTATTATTATTTTTGTCTTTTAGGTGGGTCCTGTGTGCAAACCACATGGAACCAGTAAAAGGATTTTTGGGAAGATTCCTCCATAGGAAACTAGTAGAAATAGAAGTGAGGAGTGGAACACGTAATCCAGATCTCATCAAAATCATTGATTGGATGCCTAAAGTGTGGACTCATCTCAATAAGTTTCTGGAAACTCATAGTTCTTCTGATGTTACCATTGGTAAGGATGATTCTAATGCTAGTTGGTCATCAAAAAACAGAGCCTGCTATAGACTGTAATATGTATACCTGGCTATTGCACCTCTTCCCCCACAGTACAGTTGATACTTTAAATGAGTTTGTCTCCTCCCATGATAGTGACTATTTTTTTAATCATGTCTTTCACCTAAGTACGTTATTGTCTGCCATCTAAAGTGCACATCATGATGTCCTTTTAACATCTATCCAACACTAGTGCTCATGTTCATATAATCAAATTGAGATGAATAGTCATCTTCCCTCAATTTTATAGCCAGGAGACAGATTACTCAACAGGATTGATGTATACTACTTGTATTTTCAGGTTAAAAAGCTTTATGATAGGTCTTAAACTTCAAAACTCAACTTTCATCCATTTCCAGTTTCTTCCATTGAGTTCTTTTGCTTCCAGTAAAATATAGTAAGAGTGGTGGAGAGTATTTTATTAACAGTATTACTAATCTCTTTACATGCCAATTGGTCAGAATGCAAAATGCTATTTTTTATTCATTTGTTTAAAATATTTCTTTAAACCTAAAAAGAAGTATTTGAAATGCCTTCAAGGAAAAAATAATTTATTATGTGTATATTAATGAAGTTCCTGTTATATTCTTATGTATCAAAGTTTTTATTCAATATTTTTTTTAGGTCCAAGATTATTTCTGTCATGCCCAATAGATGTCTCTAGCTCCCAGGTTTGGTTTACAGACTTGTGGAATTACAGCATTGTTCCATACCTGATGGAAGCTGTGAGAGAAGGATTGCAGGTAAAGTACTTACATGACCACCTGGTGGTTAAGCAGCTTCATAATTACTTCTTCTTTTTTTTTACACCCAGTGTTTTCAATAATTGTAAAATAGACAAAAGAAATTGGTTTATGAACTATTATTCATGTTAGAGTACATCATAATGCTCTCAAATATGTATTTGATAATTTTAAACTTTTTGGATATAGCTTTATGGTCGTAGATCTCCATGGGAAGATCCAACTGAATGGGTCCAAGAGTCATATCCATGGCTTTCAATAGGTGAACCAGACTGGCCTCAGTTACTCAGGCTTCGCCCTGAAGATGTTGGTTATGAGGGTTATCCTATTCCTAGTGTAGGAGCCAAAAAAACGCCTACATCACACAGTGAGGTGGAAGCAGACCCTCTGGTAGGTTTTCAGTTTTATAAAAACCCTGTTCTGTTATAGTTGCTTTTAATGTTGTTACTTTTATCCCTTAAGGGAATTGCTTTTAGACTGTGCTCATATGTACTATATGCTATATAGAAAATAGTTCTCTCATTTGTTTATATAGAATTTCATGCATAGCTACAAGAGAGGTATCTGCATTAGCCATCCCTAATTTAACAGCGAAAGACTAGAGGGAAGGCAGCTAGTCATCACTACCCACCACCAACTATTGGGCTATTCTTTCACCAACGAATAGTGGGATTGACCGTCACATGATAATGCCCCCATGGCTGAAAGGGCAAACATGTTTAGTAGGATGGGGATTAATAAATGCTTCCTATTATTATGTTCATGTTTTGCTTTTTCATTACATTTATTTAAAAATACCACTGAAAACTAATAATTAGTTTTAAATTATGGTTCTTTGCAGTAATGAGATACAAGTAATCCTGCCTTGTTCGACTGACATAGGCTGAGTCCTCATTTACAACATTAAGAGACTAAAATTTAAATGGCTGCCAAACTCCAATTGTTGATTACACAGTAGAAACTGTACAATTTTAGTGTCACAAAGACCATGTTTGTGTGTCACATGAGTGATATTCATTATGTGGTTTTGCTTATTATTATTTTATTCATTTCATGTTCTTATGCTGTTTAGCTGAACATGCTGATGAGACTTCAGGAAGCGGCAAGCTACTCCAGTCCTCATAACAATGACACTGAAGGAACAGACGTAGACAGTAGTAGACTTCGGACTGAAGACCTGCTAAACACAGGACTGGAGTCCACATTGTGATATCAAGAAAGTAACAATGACCATCTCATGGTTAATGTGCTGTCTCCATTGGTCAGTCTTATTCCTCTGTATGTCTAGTAATTTGTAGTTGAATTTTTAGTCTGTACAACCAGTTTTGTCAAAGTAGAAAAACTGTAAAAACAGATTGTTGAATGTGAAACATAATGAAAGGCAAAATGAACTTTTAGAAAAAATATCTATAATATCCAGTCACCATTATTAATTTTTTTGTAACTTAATATTTATTTTTCTGTAAAAGTATTTAAAAGCTCTTTTTGACATGCTTAGAATACAAGCAGTCCAATACATTTTAATTTTTCTCTGGCACTCGACCCAATTTTTGAAGTAAAACATCTCAATAATTGAACTTGCCTGATCAAAGGACAAGACATTATGTTTGAAAGATGCAGATAAAGTGAAGAAGTCTCTGTGTATCATTAAGAGTTTGAACAACAGTCTCTTCCAACAAAAATGTAATGTAGTAGTATTTAGTAACTGTTATAGAAGTTGGTTTGAATTTTCATTAATGTGAACATTTACATGAATTGTTACAATTTTTTAGCACCCCTATTTGAATGATGTGAATAATTTTATATGGGAAAAGTTTTTACTGACATTTGCTGATTTTTTTACAATTTTACTTGAATTTTGGAACATTTATTGGGAAATACAAAATGGTGCTCTAATAAGAAAGAAATACAAACCATCTTAATAGTAAATATGTAAAGATCATTACTGTGCGAGTGTTATAGCAAAAAAAAAAAAAAACGTATTGCCTATTTGCCTTTTTTTTTCTTTTGAGGAAAAAGAGATGTCATAAACACACCCAAGATGATAAACATACCATTTTTTAAGTAAAGGAATGTTACCAATTGTTCTTTGGTTATCTCTTTCAAAATCTTGACTATAACTAAATAAAGTTAGATGAAAATGTATGTAAAAAGTTTTGTTAAACTGAAGAATTTTATAAAAGTGGATGGTAATCTGAAAATAGTGATTTTTTTGTGTATAATACTTTAATAAAAGCTATAACAAAATATAATTGTATGAATGTTGATCAGTTAGTTTAGTGTGTTTTGTGAAATTCACAAATTTTGTTGATAAACATTTTTATTAACAGAGATATAATTCAAATGGAATGAACAATTATATCCAAATATCTTTATTTTACATATAATAAATTTGTTAAAATTATTTACATTTTATCACTAAACATATTAGTTTTATGTATGGTTTGTAAGTAGGTTAAATTCTCATGTATACAGGTAATGAGTGAAAGAAGAAGATTTGGGCTTTTCTCGCTGAGAATTTTATATTAAAACTAATATCTGAGGAATTTGTGAAAAATGAATACATAGAAAAAATAAATTATAAACTGTTACTCATGACAGTTCAAACTGCATATAAAAATAAATAAAATTTAAGAACAACCACAAAACTCCTTGGATGTGTGGTTCTGTCTACTTGAAAGAAATGCTAAATTTCTCCTACTCACGTGCTTTCAGTTATTACTTGAGTTTTATGAACTCGGGTAGTGTGATATTGTAATATTCTAGCTTACAAGAGTTTTCATATGATATTCTTTAACTTTGTTCTTCCTTGAAGAAACTTGAACTTGCACAATTTTTTCTGTCTCTGACAACTTGCCTTACAAGCATTTGTGTTTATGCATAAAGTTCTATACTTGATTGTGGAAAACAAAACAAAAAGATTTATCAAAGTATAATTGTTGGAGTGAAAAATCATAAAAAATTATCAACAGTTTTTAAAGTGTTTGAATACTGACTTGGATAACATTATGCAGAGATTAGTGATTTAAAATGTTGAAAACAGGACATCTTGAGACTTTCATTGTTACAGCAGTACAACCTGTTGAAAAATAGTGTTTAAAAAAATGTGGTAACATTATGATCAGGCTAAGTTTTAAGAAAGGTTGTTAAGAAACATCATTACTATTATATTAGAGTAAAACATTAAGAGAGATTTTAATAAACTTTGAAGCTCTTTGATGGGTACTTTATAACAGTAGCAACCATGTTAGTTAAAACTGTTTAAACATAACCTTGCAATTTTGTGTTCTTAAAAGTGCAACATGCCATTGTGAATAACTTTTAGTATTTACCAAAAGTAAACCGAAACCTTATAATAATAATAATAATAATAATAAAGTGAGTAAAAAGACCAAGTATGTTGCAATCAGTTTTTAATACATTCGTGTTCACTGCACTTTTTTAAGTTAAATGATGCATTTGTTAAGCATGTGCTGGGTGATTTGATTTATCCATTTTGCACAATGCACTTAGTGCACTTTAAAATATTTATTTTTACAATTTTTTAAATATTTTCTTATTAAATAGGTTACTTGTTTACTTCTTGCCATTTCCACACTTGGTTTTGTTAATAACTTAAATAGTAACTATTAATACTGTTATTGACTTTCAAATCAAAAAGTTACAATATCAGTGTTGCCAAGTCTGCTTATAATAAGTAAAATTAGGTTTCTTTTTTTCTAAGTTTTAATTTTCTGAGACTCGTGAATTTTTGGCCTTTTATTATTCTAGATTTGTTTGTTTTTTTGTAATAGCTGACTTTAACTACAATGGTTGTTGGAGAGGTTTTGGTAATTAACTGGGTCAATGAATAGCCTAAGCATCATATCATTAATTACAATTGTAGAATCATCCTATCCCACTCCTGTTCAATTGAAAAATAAACCCACAATTGTGAACTTTCTGGCCCACCCAGTTGATACATTTATATTCCAATTAAGCCTCACAAGTCTTCATGTTGAGGGTAAGCCATATAAGAGCATTGGAGAGTTGGAAGTTAGTGCAACTTATTTTTCTCATGAAACTTGGCAACACTGTTCAATATATGTAAGGAAACATTAATCACTAAAACAAAACTTTGAATGAAAAATAAATCTAATTCCAATAATTATATATATATATATAAGAAAAATCAAATTAGCAAATGAAACAAAATGTTTATAAAAGGGATGATTATTATAACTTTATATAGGGATAGACTTGATGAAAATGGTTAATTTTTTTTTTTAAAGATGTGTAGTGTCTATGTGTTACCTGGATGTGGAACAAGTAAAAATGTTATTTCTAAAATTTAAAGCAAAATAGCTGCAGGAATAATTTTTGTCATATGCTGAGGTTTATCTATTAAAAAACTTGTTAAAAGAGTAACATTAAAAAAAGGACAATGGTCATTATTTTTATTAAGCGTTTGCACTTGAACCTTGTATATAATGGAGAGTCACAAGTATCAATGGGAAAATCTAGACCTGGTACAAATGTTTCTTTTAAAGTAGGTATAGAAATTGTTACTAATGTTCCACTTCAGGTACCTACAGTAACCATGTGATTAATTAAATATATACTAATGTTTCTAATGGCAAATAGCAGTCTAAAATATGCATTAATATTTTTTTTTTCAGCTTCTTTCACTATTACATATAGAATTTTCTTCACTATATGATACAGGATGTTTAACAGTTGTTCAAACTAGATGTAAATAAAGCAAATAAGGGAGTCAAGCCAAAGATGTCGTCAGTTAGTCGTACATATCCCAAGCTACTATCAGTAGTTTTAAGGACATACATATCTGTAGAAAGTGTATACTTCATAATGTATTTACTCTAAAGGTTTTGGCTTGGTATATCATAATAAGCTAAGAACATTATGCTGTACCCTAAAGTTTAAATACGATGTATGGTTGCACAAATGTGCAGCCGTAATTTGTTGTGTTGGAGTTCTGTTATTTTTGTGTATGGTGTAAATATCTTGTACTATTTTGTAAATAAACCAGAACTGTTTTTAAAAGCAGCGTACGGTTTTATCTTGGTTTTATTCAAGTGTTACAGGAAAAAGTCCACAAGTTATCAATGAGGATATTGAGATCCAAAAAATGATACTTCAACAGCTATTACTCTGTTTCAAAGATATTTTACCTAATTCTTTCAAAATTTATGTAAGGATAAAAAATTCTACATCTCACCACTCCAAGTTTGTTTGTTTGATTTTATGCAAAGCTACACAGGGGTATCTGAGCAAGCCATCTCCAATTTAGCAGTGAAAGACTAGAGGGAGCTAGTCCTCACCACCCATCACCAACTCTTGGGCTACTCTTTTACCAATGAAAAGTGGGATTGACAGTCAAATTATAATGGCTGAAATGGCGAGCATGTTTGGTTTTGGGATTCAAAACCTTGAACCTCAGATTGCGAGTTGAGTGCCCTACCCACCTGGCCATGCCAGGCCCCACTCCAAGTTTTTAAAAAAAAAAAACGGATATTTAAGGCAGCAACACAGGTTGAGCATTTCATAAAAAATATTGAAATAAGTCTGATCAAATTTAATGTACGTAAAAATGTAGGTTTTTTTGTTCTCAGTACAAAAAATGAGAACAAATTTGGCTTGTTCCAAGTTGAATGGGAAAGAATATTAAACTAATGTACTTAACACTTGTTCTTAAAGTATGATAAAGAACACACTACCGGTTGATATTCAATATAAAACCTATAAATGTTTGCTTAAAACCTAATAAGGAAAAATAAATATATATTAATTATAAAATATTTGAAATCGTATACTGTCATGGCATTATAGTTCTTATTCAACTCAAATTATTTTTTCAACAAAGTGTTTGTCATAAGACATTAGTATTAGGCTTATTATATTTTTTAACTATTTTCTATACCTAGTCCATCACGAATTTTAAGAATTAGTAGAGTGTAATTATAGTATTCCAAACGCACTATATTTGGAATATCCCTTGCCAACAATGCTCTTCACTAAATTTTTCATGACAAAAATTGTCCATTTTTTTTGGTTTATAGATTTCAAAATCAAATTT